GTAAACTAAGTGCATATAGTTAGTTAAGTCATACTACCTTCGTTCTTAAATAAATGCAACATGTTGAATTTTGTACTATATATTCATTGTTCTACTTTGACTACGTTTTATTTATTAATGTATTAATATTTTTATGAAAAAAGTATTGTTAAATTTGTCTCATTGTAAATTTTCAAAATCTAATTTTTTTTAATTCTTTTACCAATAATACAAAATTATATGTAGTATATATTAATGGTCAAAGTTGTGTCTCGACAAGTGTGAAACTTTGACCGTTGCATTTATTTAAAAACGGTTAATTCTTGAACATATGTCTTATCGTACCTAGGGACTATTCTAATTTAGTGTCTATATTTTTCTCTAATATTTTCTTTAACGACACACTAAAGATATACTTCGTAATACTACTAAAGATATACTTCGTAATACTTAAATCTTGTTTGATACTACAGAAATTGATGAAGTGCTTAAAGCGATTGAATTGGTTGGATTTGTTGAACTGTGCTACCTCCAATCCGCCCTACTAATATTGGGACAAGAGGAGGTAATACATGTATTAAGAAAAATTAGTTTATGTAATTGATATTTAATTGATAAAGTAAGAATGATTTAGAGTCACGCAAACTTGATCAAATTGGGTATGGAGTAATCTTGGTGAGATTTCTCGAAAAGGTAAAATGATACAATCTTAACGAGACGGAGGAAGTAGAAAATTATATTTAAAATATATTTTATTAATAAAATAATGAGTAAATTATACGGAGTACAAAATAGCTAAAATACTTTTGAACAATAACTTAAGCCACGAAATAGAAAAGTAACTTGAATCTTACTTATTTTGATTATTAAAAATTGAATGTGCACGAAATAGAAAGGTACATATAAATTAAAAAGTGGATTATATTGATAAGTCGGATCAATTGAAAAAAGAAACCATCAAAGGGCTTTTAATGTCAATTCATCTACATCAAGTACATATAAAAATATATGGAGTTTGAACTTTGAAACAGTAAATATGAGACTTTGGGTTCTACCCTCTATAAAAACTAGTTTGCTTATCTTTTGAAATTTCTACAACACTCATTTATGATTGAGGCCGTGGGTTAAAATTTAAGTTTAAATTTAAATATTTAAATTTAAAATCAAATTTAAGTTTATGATTGCGTTTTCATTTACTTTGGCATTTTTTATTACATAGGTTCGTTTCGAGTAGGAGAAGACAAAAATACCACACTTAGACCATTTGTACATGTTCAAGAGTTAAATTTGGACTCCATCCATATGAAACTCCGTCAATACTCTTTTTTCCTGCATCTGTGCACCGTCAATAAAATACACTCTGCATATTTTTTACATATGAATATAGAAAAACATTAATTAAATTATTATAAGTAATGTTTTACTTTAATTTTAATTTTTCCCCTGAATAATTATGAAATAAAAAATACACATTTTGATGTAAAAATACATAACTTTTTGGGAAAAGTACGGAAAATGTACTTGTAGTTGGACCCGTTTCAGGTAAGGTCATGTGTTTCATTCTTTATCAAAGTGGTTCATGTGTTTGAATTCCGTTATGACAAGAGGGTCACGCCGTTAAAAATGTCTGAAAAAGACCGTTAAAAGTAACTCCGATTTTCAAAAGTGACCGAAAAATTAAAAGAAAAATACTGGAAGGTGCGCCTAAAAAAGGCGACCGCTAGGCCATCTTTTTTTTTTTCAACCAACCTTGTCACCGGATAGTCCATCGGAAAAGTGATATTAGCGAAATCATTTTCAAAAAAATAATTCAAAGAGATCTGAAAAATCAAAGGTGAAGGTGGTTTGGAGGTCATCTTGACGAGGCGCACATTTCGGTATATTTCTTTTAATTTTCCAGGCACTTTTGAAAATCGGAGTTAGTTTTAACGGTTTTTTTCAGACGTTTTTAACGGTGTGACCCTCTTGTGAAAACGGAATTCAAACACATGAACCACTTTGATAATGAATGAAACACATGACCCTATTTGAAAACGGGTCCAACCACAGGTACCTTTTTCGTACTTTTCCCTATTTGTTTTTAACATTTTTTAGTTTTCGGTTAAAAAAATGAATTTGTTTAAGTAAAGTTTGATTATAGAATATTCAGTTATTTGTGATGGCTCCATGATTTAAAAATCTATGTTTTCGTTTTTTTAGCTCAAGAAACAGCAACAGTTAAAATTTAAAAAAAAAAATCATTTTATATATGACATATGGATGTCATATGAAAGATCATAAAAATTTATGAATTTTGATATACTTTTTGAAAAATTTAGATGACAAATAAAAAAGTTATACTACCTCCGTCCTTAATAAAACTTTCAATTACGGGTTACAAAGTTTGACCAGCGATAAAGTTAAATGATCCCTATGAAAACTCGGATTATTTTTAGTAAATAAAATTTACATATTCAGAAACTACATTAAACCTGCTACAAAGCCTGCAAAAAATAATTCAATTTTTATAAATTTTTGATATATAAAGTAAGAGTTTAAGTGTGATTTAAGTTGACCCTCGAAAAGCAAAATGGAAGTTTATTTAGGGACGGAGGGAGTATAAGTTTAAAAAAATTGGGATATAATGACGCAAGGGTGACGCCAGCATGACATCATCCTCACCAAATTGGGATATAAGTTTCTTTCTTTTTTGTTTCTCCACTCCTCTAAACTCACCCTCTATATTTAGATATTTAGGGAGTGTTTGGAACAATTTCTACTTTAAAAAAGAGTATTTTTTGGAAAAAGTGATTAAATAAAAGTTCTTGTAAGCACAAATGTCAAGAACAAGTCCATCTTGTTCCAAGAGCTTGCAAGTTCTTCCAAAAGTAGCTGACGAGTGAAGAGAGATACACTTACGTGACAAGTGTATCTACATAGGGATTCCGTGAGTCGAGACACACAACTTTATCCGAAAGTCTTATTCAATTTTTAAAAAATTATAAAAATGACTAAATACACAATATCATATTAGGAATAAATGATTTTATATCCATGTTGTTTGAATAGTTTTATTTATTTTTGTTAGAAATCACTATTGATTTAATTATATCTATATTGTTCAAGTTATTTTAGGAGAATGTGTTACTTTTTAATATGTGGCATGTTGAATTGCTTATATATACTAATAATAATTATTGTTCAATATTGAATTGACATAAATAGATTATTAATTGTATTTCGTAACATTTTAATAATAGATTTAATATGTCAGTAGTAATAACGATTTAGTATATTTCGTTAATCTATGATAATTTTTGTATTGGGAGACATGCACGGTAATTTACAGATACCGTACCGTTACCGAACCGAAACTTCGGTATAGCGCAATGCGGTATACCGAAACATCGGTAATAAGGTAAAGGTATGCACATTTTGCATACCGAAAATTTTGGTACGGCAAAGGTATGAGAAAAAAATATAAGGTATATCGTACCGAACCACCCCTAAATTTTCTGTAATTTTTGGAGTGAAAAGTTCAAATATGCTTTTTTAACCCCAGGTTGTTTACTGGATAAAAAACCTTGGGTTGCTATTAGTCTAATGATGCAAAAAAAGTATGATTGTTTTACACATTTTTGTGTATAATTAACGTTGGCACATCTTGTCTGCCTATATAAAACGAGTAACTTGTCTACACAGATACAGTTTTGTGCATATAGATAAATTCTGTATTAATTTCAATATGTATTGTCTAGCTGCTATGTTGCAGGGGCATGTGAAAATCACGAGGAAACACGAAAATGCTCAAAATATGCTTATTTGGATAGTTTCAAGGAAAACGTATTATTTCCCGAGAGTTTGCATGGTACATAGATTTTCTGTATAGAAATAATAGTGTTTATACATACACAAGCTGTGTCAAAATGTATCCAAAAATATAATATATTCCCTACGTCCCAATATAAAAGACACATTTCTCTTTTTAACAAACAAAATAGTGTCAAAAACTTCTGTGGAAAAGCAAATGTGTCTTTTATTGAGACGGAGGGATCAAATTATGCGCCAACCATTTCTGATTTTCTGTGCATGCAGAAAAAGAGTGAATAGCACATAGAGTTTGAACTGAACACAAAAGAATTCAGGGGTGGGCCCCCTCAGCGGCGGAACTACTATAGGGCTTGGGGGGTGTTTGTGCCCCTGCAGCCTTTTATTTATTTACTATATACTCCGTATTATGTATATATATGGTTTGTCTACGAACTATTTGTTTGGCGCTCCGTCTGAGAGGAAATAAGCTTCGGTCAATCGTTGCTGCTGACCTGCTATGTTCGCTTGTCGACCAGAAGGGAGGGAATTGAGTTAATTATGGAGTTCTTATTTGGAAGACCATCTCAATTGCTGAATTGTTGCTTATCAATTATGGAGTATCATTTATTTCGAATTTAAGTGAGGCCTTTATTTAACACTCCTGGCCTCCTGGGTCGATCCTAATTCTTGGGAATTGGGATGCTTGAGAATAAATCAAGGGTCTGTTTTAGAGATAAGGCTCCATCAATTTGAAATACTAGTATATACTATTACGGATTTGATTCCCATAAAAAGTGTCAGATATTGAATTCATTTAATAAGAATAACGTAACAATCATTTAAACCCTATAAACTTTATTATATTTGTTATGACTCAAGGTTAATGAGACAAACCGAAAAGGAAAGATGTCACAATCTTGACGGATTTGCTAGTGTATTTTCGGTATAGCCGTGAACTGAACTGGTCGTTTTTTATGGATATTGCTCAAAATATAGGGCTAAAACATACACAAATTTGTTGATGGATTGCGTTCAAGTTTGACAAACAATTCGTATGAATTGGTTTTGTAGACCATTCCTAAAGGTAGTAAAGAGTCAAGCCTTTTTAGATTATGTGCCCCTCCAAGATCACCGAGCTGGTTCCGCCACTGGGCCCCCTGTAGTGTATAAATAACTGTCCATTGTTCCGCAAAACAAGGAAGCCATCTGAGAAGTAATACTTCAGCTAACTCTGTACAGGAAAAGGAAAGGAAGATGAGATGTGCTTCGTCTCATGCTTTCTTCCTCATTGCCCTCCTCGGAATATTCGCATGCATATTCAAAAAGATTCTCCGGACGTTTCCGAGGTCGGTCATCCTAAACCACGTCGTTTCAACAGCGACGCAGCTGAAACTGTCCTCGGATTGCCTCCTCTTGCACTCTATCTGCCATGCAGCCGCCTCCCCCTACAAATTCAGCCGCTCAAACGTCGCCGGAATTTCGCCGGAGAACGCCGCAGCTGGGCTCGGCGTAAGGGTTTTCGAGGGGAGATCCGGCGTAGAGCCGGAATGCCCGATTTGTTTGTGCGGCATAGAAGACGGAGAGGATGTGAGGGAGTTGAGGTGTGCACATGTTTTCCACGTGGCTTGTTTGGATAGTTGGCTTGGAACTGGCCGTATGACGTGTCCGATTTGCCGGAGCCACGTCAAGACGTCGGGCCCACTTCTTGGTCATCTTCAGGATGACGTCATCGTCTTCAACTTCTTCTCCAGACGGCGAGATGAATGCATGTGGTGGATAAGATGATTAGACAGGGGTCAAATTCCGTCAAAATATGTCAACTTAATTCATTAAAAAAATCTATTAAAATATTTTTTTTGTCAACTGAATTCATTCGTTGTATTTATACTGGATAGTATATATATAAATCTAATGGTTTTAAGAGAAAATGGCGAAATTGCCATTTCCATCATTGGTTATTTTTATTAGATTTGTTATTTTTATTAAAATATCCTTCTAAATCTATTAGACTAATTGGATTATCTCTTAGGATACTTGGGGCCAAAATCTTTGTTATTTACTATCATTGAATTTTAATTTATTGGATGTTTTAAAGGGTCAAATCTCATGTTTAATTCATTTGCCACAAATTGATTCATTATTACATTGTTAGAAATGGGATTAATTGAATATCACAAGAAAACTAGAGAGTATATAATCTTATCTAATTGACGTGACAAAAAATTAACAGCTTTGCTATAGGTATCCCAAAATGGGGTATCCCATTTGTCCACATCCTAATGGGTTGCCATAAACGATGAACATCAAGAATGAACATTCAAGGGTGAGTGTTGTAAACTCATGGGAATTACAGGTGTGAATTATTCATCCTTATAATCAGGACACTAATCTAGCATCAAACCTTGTAACCAACTTAGAACAGATGGCTCAATTTGTTATTGCCACCAAGTCTGTAGAGTCATCCTTTAGATGACTAATCATCAAGCTCAACCACTATAAATAGGAGCTTGGTGAAGTCTTGTAAATTCATTCAGAAATTATCATATACTAAGAAAAAGTAATTTTAGAGCTTATTAATATTATATCTATCTCTTTAATCTGTTCTTCATCTTCTTCATTTCACAACACGTTATCAGCACGAATCTGCTCAAAATCTTCAACCATCAGTTTCTTCTTCAAAATCTCCTGCATATATGGATCACTCAAATGATAAAGAGCTATGTCTGATAGACAGCTCCACAACGCACACCATTCTGAGAAATAAAATATATTTTTCTCAAATGACTTTAGTTGAGGCTAAAGTCAATACAATATCAGGTGTTGCGAAGCTCATTGAAGGCTCTGGGAAAGCATATGTGATGCTCCCTAATGGGACAAAATTACTTATAAATGACGCTTTATACTCCAGCAAATCGCGGAGAAATTTATTAAGTTTTAAAGATATGCGTCAAAATGGTTATCACATAGAAACCATGAATGAAAACCAAAAGGAATATTTTTGTCTTACGACAACTAAATCTGGCACTAAATGTATTTGTGAAAAAATGCTGGCATATTCCTCAGGACTATATTTCACTCATATTAGTCCATTTGAAATAAATTTGGTTTCTAAGGATGTTTTTACTTGGACTGTAATTTGCTGGTCTGATCTGGTCTGGTCTGATCTGGTCTGGTCTGGTCTGAACTGGTCTGGTAAGGTCTGGTTTCTTTATATTTTTATAACTATCCAAGTCTGGTTTGGTCTGGTCTGGTCTGAACTGGTCTGGTCTGGACTGGTCTGGTCTGGGGCAAATTACAGTCCAAGTAAAAACATCCTAACACAAAGTTAGATGATCAGAAAACATTCATGTTGTGGCATGACCGTTTAGGTCACCCAGGCCAGGTAATGATGCATAAAATCATTAAGATTTCACTTGGACACCCATTAAAGAATATAAGGGTTCCATTATCAAGTGATTTTCCTTGTAATGCCTGTTCTCTTGGCAAAATGATCATCAGGCCTTCTATGAACAAAATTGCAACTGAATCACCTGCATTTTTAGAAAGGATTCAAGGAGATATTTGTGGGCCGATTGCTCCTCCATGTGGACCATTTCGATATTTTATGGTGTTGATTGATGCTTCAACACGTTGGTCACATGTTAGTCTTTTATCGACTAGAAATTTAGCATTTGCTAAACTCCTTGCTCAAATCATACGATTACGAGCCCATTTTCCGGATCATTCTATAAAAAGAATCCGACTTGATAATGCGGGAGAATTTACATCCAATCATTTAACGATTATTGTATGTCGATTGGGATTGATGTGGAGCACCCTGTTGCTCATGTCCATACACAAAATGCAGGTGTAATCGCTAGACCATTATTAATGAAGTGTAATTTACCTTCATCAGCTTGGGGACATGCTATTTTGCACACAGCAAATTTAATTCGGCTTAGACCGACTGCATATCATGAATATTCCCCAATGCAATTAGTTACTAGACAAGAGCCAAACTTAGCACACATAAAAATATTTGGTTGTGTTGTTTATGTTCCGATTGCTCCACCTCATCGTACAAAAATGGGTCCTCAAAGAAGGTTGGGAATTTATGTTGGATTTGAATCTCCCTCAATAATAAAATATCTTGAACCAATGACTGGTGACTTATTCACCGCATGGTTCGCTGACTGTCATTTCAATGAGACAGTATTCCCAACCTTAGGGGGAGAAACTAATAAATCGGACCCAAGTACGAAAGAAATAACATGGAATGCAACAGGATTATCACACCTTGATTCTAGATCAAATATATGTGAGCAAGAGGTGCAAAAGATAATCCATTTACAAAATGTTGCAAATCAGTTGCCTGGTGCATTCGCAGATACAAAGAAAATGACAAAGTCACATATTCCTGCTATGAATGCTCCTGCCAGAATCGAAATCCCAGCAGAGAATTCTGAAAAATCTCTTGCAAATGATTCTTCTATACACAAAAAGCGTGGCAGGCCACTTGGATCGAAAGACATAAAACCAAGAAGAACTAAAAGACAGGAATTGATCTGTGATGCCAAAGATGTTCATCCTTCTGAACAAGAAAATAAACAATTTGAAAATACTGGCATAGAAAATGATATTGACAAAACAAATATCTCAAATGATGATCCAACTTCCTTAAATGAGGATGATATCCCAGATAATGATAGAAACATTGATAATTATGAAATTTCAATGAATTACGTTGGTACTGGATTGCAATGGAATCGAAAAGATATTGATATTAATGAGATATTTGTCTATGTTGTTGCCACGAATGTAATGAATGAAAACAATGACAATGAGCCAACATCAATTGAAGAATGTCGGAAACGACATGATTGGCCAAAATGGAATGAAGCTATTCAGGCTGAATTAAAATCACTTGAAAAACGTGATGTTTTTGGACTGATAGTCCCTATGCCAAAAGGCGTAAAACCAGTGGGCTTTAAATGGGTATTTGTGCGTAAACGCAATGAGAAAAATGAAATTGTTAGATATAAAGCCCGACTTGTTGCCCAAGGTTTTTCTCAAATGCCGGGAATTGATTATGAAGAAACTTATTCTCCAGTAGTTGATGCAACTACATTAAGGTTTCTCATTGGCATGTCTGTTTTTGAAAGGCTGCAAATGCGCTTAATGGATGTAGTGACTGCATATTTATACGGTTCACTCGATACCAGACATTTATATGAAAGTTCCCGGAGGATTTAAATTGCCTGAAGCCTATAGCTCGAAATTTCGAGACATGTTTTCCATTAAATTACAGAAGTCATTGTGTGGACTAAAACAATCTGGACGAATGTGGTATAATCGTCTCAGTGAGTATCTTCTCAAAGAAGGATATAAAAATGATCCTATTAGTCCATGTGTTTTCATTCGGCGATCAAATTCGGGATTCACCATAATTGCAGTATATGTTGATGACTTAAACATTATTGGAACTCTCGATGAAATTGAAAATACTGCAAAATATCTTATGAAAGAATTTGAAATGAAAGATCTCGGGAGAACCAAATTTTGTCTCGGACTTCAAATTGAGCACTTGAAGAATGGAATTTTCATCCACCAATCCAATTACACCGAGAAAGTGTTGAAGAGATTCTATATGGACAAAACTCATCCTTTGACTTCACCAATGGTCATTCGATCTCTCAACATACACGATGATCCATTTTGTCCCTGAGAAGACGACGAAGAAATACTCGGTCCCGAAGTACCATATCTGAGTGCTATCGGAGCTTTAATGTATTTAGCTAATAATATTGGACCAGATATTGCATTTTCTGTAAATTTATTAGCTAGGTACAGCTCATGACCAACAAGACGGCATTGGAACGGGATCAGGCACATATTTCGTTATCTCCGTGGTACAGTTGATCTCGGCCTATTCTACCACAAAGATGCAAAAGCTTCTTTAATCGGATATGCAGACGCTAGATACTTATCAGATCCTCAAAAGGCAAAATCACAAACCGGGTACGTATTTACTTATGGTAATACCGCAATCTCTTGGAGATCTATGAAACAGACGTTGACAGCTACATCATCAAATCATTCGGAGTTAATTGCACTATATGAAACCGGAAGAGAATGTGTATGGCTGCGATCTATGATTCAACCCATCCAGAATGAATGCGGTATGAAGCCTATTACTGTTTACCCTACTATGATCTACGAAGACAATACTGCGTGCATAGCTCAAATTAAAGAAGGCTACATCAAAGGAGATAGAACGAAGCATATATCTCCCAAATTTTTCTCTACTCATGACCTTGAGAAAGAAGGGACAATCAACATTCAACAAATCAGATCCAGTGAAAATCCCGTCGATCTCTTCACCAAATCTTTACCCCCGAAGAAGTTCATAGAACTTGTACAGAAAATCGGCATGCGTCGCCTTAATAATTTATGTTAATTTCAGGGGGAGTATTTGAATGCACTGCACTCTTTTTTCCTTCATCAGGTTTTTATCCCACTGGATTTTTCCTGATAAGGTTTTTAACGAGACAGTACATCCAAATACAACGACATTATATGTCATAATCTTTACCCCTTTAAGTTTCACACTAATTTTTCATCATAACAAAATAACTATTCAAGGATGAACATTCAAGGGGGGGTGTTGTAAAATCATGGGAATTACAGGTGTGAATTATTCATCCTTGTAATCAGGACACTAATCTAGCATCAATCCTTGTAACCAACTTAGAACAGATGGCTCAATTTGTTATTGCCACCAAGTCTGTAGAGTCATCCTTTAGATGACTAATCATCAAACTCAACCACTATAAATAGGAGCTTGGTGAAGCCTTGTAAATTCATTCAGAAATTATCATATATTAAGAAGTAATTTTAGAGCTTATTGATATTATATCTATCTCTTTAATCTGTTCTTCATCTTCTTCATTTCACAACACTCCACAAATTTTAAGGTAATACTTATAATGTACAACATAATTCTTTTGGAAACAATTACCCATACTATGATTTTCTCCTTAAATCTATTTAAAATTCGTAAAATGCTAAAGGTACCCCAAAATGGGTTACCCATTTTACCCCGCCTGGGTGTGTGACCATAAATGGGGCAACTCATTTAAGACTGAAAAGAACTAAAGCAATCTTATTTTCCAAATTCATGCAAAGAAATAATTTAATTGCCCTAAATAGGACTAAAAACGTTTGTGTATTTCAAAATAGGATTGTCATGTTTTTATTCCCAAAATAGGACTAATTATTGCCATGTTTTGTCACTACCAGTCTTTAAACATGGCAATAATTACTCATATTTTGGGAATAAAAACATGGCAGTTCTATTTTGGAATTTTCAAACTTATTTACTCCTATTTCGGAAATTTTCCCTACTTATTTATGACTAATACAAATTAATTACATTTTATTACATGCATTCCAAAATCTGATTTTTATTTCAGTTTCAAAATGTATTAATAATTCTTAATATTACCTCCGTCCCATAAAATTCTTCCCAGTTTCCTTTTTGGGCCGTCCCAAAAAAATTCTCCCCGCTTACCATTTTTGGACAATTTGTGTGGTTCACATTCATTTGTGTGGTCCACTTTATTCCACTTTCTTAATCTCCATACCAAATTACCAAGTCAAAGTGGGAAGAATTTTCTGGGACGAAGGGAGTAATTGTTTTCTTGATCAATAAAATCTCAAATGATGTAAATAGATTTAAGTAAAACCCAAACAGTTTAAAATTTATTTATTTAACATAAAAGAAGATTCGAAAAGATCAAAATTTTAAATAAAAAGAAAACTGGCAATAACAATATGCACGGCTGCTTCCAAAGTTCCAAGTTCCAGCCTATTTTGTACACTCAACAAGATTATAGTGTCATAAATAGTGTCCACTCGTGTCCACTCCTACTTAAGTTTAGGGAATAAATAGGGTATTGAAACTTGGAAGATGATATTATTATATCAAACAACCAGTGTTTTTAGTTTGTTTCTCTGTGGTATGATCATATGGTGATTGTGTCTGCATACTAAAAGAGGAAGCAAGTTTCAAATGTGTATAGGCATAGGAGGAACCAAACATGTACAGTTGTACACTATGAGCATGCAAGGAGACAACATTCAAGCTTTTAATTTCCCTATTGTCCCTCCCCAGAAAGAAGGGTAATTTGATGCTTGAAACAGACCCTATAGGGTGATACTAGCAAAAAAGAAACTCTTCTTCAACTATGCTCAAAAGTGGAAAAGGAATTCCTGATTTCTTATTTGGCTCCAAAACCGCGAGCGCTTGGTCTTGCTGAAGCAGAGTCTGTAAATAGCTTTTTCAGTGTTGATTTCCGCTTCCTCCTTGCAGTTCCAGCAGAGGTCTGTTTAGCATTTACCAAGGCAATAAAAAGAGATTAAGCTTTACTAGTCTACCCCCAATATTAACAGCCTTTATTTGAAATGAAATAAATTGGATCCGTCTTGGGATATGACAGGTCATGGTTTCCGTGAGGATAGACCATTCATTGGGTGTGATACTGGAACCGTAGCTCAGTCTCTCTTTCCTACTTAGAATTGCCTGGACTACCCCACCCCCAGGGAAAATTACACCTTCATGGCAGTTGCTTTACTAGTCTTTTAATTGAATGGGAAGTACAAAAAGTGCCTCCTAAAGCTCTATTAAACCCATGGCATTTCACAAGCTTAAGACTTAAAAAAGTAGAGCATCTACATATGTACATAACGTAAGCACCTGCTGTACCAACTTTGTTGCCTCTTCAAGTTTAGGAACGGACCCATCCTCCATTGCACCCATTAATTTCTTCATATGAGCACGCGCTTGAAAAAACTGAGAGAGAATTTTGCTGACCTATGAATTTGAAATTGTGGGGATTAGTTTATGTTGAATGAAGAAGAATCAATGCCAATTTTGCTACACTGTAATTACCTACCTGCTGCTCAGTTTTTCCACACCCTTGAGCAATTCGTTTTCTCTTAACTGGAGAGTTGGCCAACAGGTCTGGGTTCTCTCTCTCCTCTGTGGAAAAACACTTGAGTTCAGATATAAACCATCAACATCTTATCTTATTTTACATCTTACTATATACAAAATGGAGGGGAAAGATGAAAAGTGTTCCCGCCAAAACATGGGGTAAAAAAAAAGGGTCGGATCCTTTTCATTGTGTTGTACCATTTCGTAGGTTAGGGCAATGATTACAAAGATATTGACATTTTTGACAAAAAAAAAAAAGTGAACAGTTCAAAAATCTACGGTTCTGAACAGACACTTTGTAGGTATCTCTTCCTTTAGAACTTCATATAAATATATGGTTGTACCTCTTGTATAAACACGTTCTATTAATAATAAAAGTACAGAAAACTTCACTACTTTTTCTGATTGTTCTGTTGTAGATAAACAGAATAAGCCAATTAGTGATTTAGTGCTACCAAACAGGACCAAAGTTTTCCCAGTTGCTTTGATTATATTATACTGGTCTCTATTAAAACTTGGAGAACCATCCTAAAAGGTCATATTTGACCAGTATGGCTGGCTTAACATGTTGGCTGGAACACAATCTTGAAATTTGTTTGCTCTTTTTGAGCCCCAATCAAATTGATTGCTTCTTTGAGTTTAATAGACTTTGATACTATATTCAGATTTGGAGATCCATCAAAAGCAGTGTGAGATGGCTTACGAACTTTAAACAAGTTTTATTAAGTAAAAAGGCATAACAAACCAGGAGTCATTGCTTCTATCACCGATTCCATTATCTTAAAGCTCTTTTCCGCCTCTCGGATTTGTGCAGGAGTAATCTGGGAGACAGAGATAATTAACTTTGCATCCAGTGGCACCTTAGTATAGGTAAAACTGTAAAATGAAACAGGAAGGCATAAAGCATGTTAAAGCCAGGTCTATCAGTCTATCAGTCTATCTCATTATACCTTAGACATTCCAGGAACCATTCCTATAACCCGAGCCATGGAACCCATCTGTGCAATTGCGCGGATTTGCTTCAGGAAATCATTGAAGTCAAATTTAGAACTCATTATTTTCTTCTGCAACTCCTCAGCTTCTTCTTGACGCATCTGAACAGATAGATTAAACATTAAAAAACAAAAATAATTAAATTAATTAATTAATTAATTAATTATTAAGTAAGTAAATAAGTATAAAAGTAAGTAATTAAATTAAATTAAATAAATATATAAAAGAAGAAGACCTACTACTTCTTCGGCCTTCTCCACAAATGATAGAACATCTCCCATCCCTAAGATTCGTCCAGCCATACGATTGGGATAGAAAGGTTCAAGGTCTTCCATGCGCTCACCCCTTCCTACAAGCTTGATTGGCTTTCCTGAAACCTGTAACAGTATCATCGCAAGGTCCGAAGCAAAACCAAGTTTTAATCCCCATTAAGTTAGAGGGTATGTTTGCACAATGGAAACTGCTAGGTGGAGGGAAAATGCAAGGGAGGTTACTTTCCTATTTTTGGCTTTACATTGGAAGTTGGAAAATGCAAAGGAAAATGAAATATGATAATTTTAAAAATAATTATTTTTAATTGAAATAGATAATAGTGTGAAACAGTGCACAAAAATGTAAAATAGATTTATTAAAATAGATAGAGTTTGACACTTTGACCAAATATGTAAAATAAATTTACTCAGCTTGAAATTTTAAGTCTATCCTTCATTTTCACAAATTTTATTTTCTTCTCTCTTCCTTGGCCCTAATATTTCCGGTTCAAACTGAACCCTATGCATTAAGGGGTCGCAATTTGCAACTGTTTTAACAATGAGAACTAGCCGTTAAAAGCTATAAAAGTGTACATGCACTTGTCATTGGCTACTACATGAAAATAAAGTGCTCAGCAAATTATTCCATTTTATTATTTAGTAATAAGACAACCTCCTTGACACACAATGCTGCTCCACCTCTAGAATCCCCATCTAGCTTTGTCATAATGGCACCAGATATTCCAACTTCAAGATTGAATGATGATACCAAAGCTACACTTGCACCAAAGAATATCAAAGGAGCACAAGATCAGTATATTTCAAGACAATCCACTTAAAGATGGCATGTTCAGTATAAGAGAACCATCATTGCAATGTCATTTTCAATAAGGAAATGACAAATAACCAATCATAGCATATAGCCATAGAGTGTAAATCAAATAATCTCTTTGGGAATTCACTACTTCCTCTGCCCCATTATTTTCTTCCCACTTTCCTTTTGGGAATGTCCCAAAATTTTCTTCACATTTTTGTGAGGATGGTATTGTTTCTAACCTTAGCTTTTTAGGTCAAGCACAACCATACAGCTTCACTTTCTTAAGAAGCGTGTCAAGTCAGAATGGGAAGAAACTTTTGGGAAATTGGGAGGGAAGGATTATATCAGTATAACTTTTAGTAAAAAGAAAATCAAATCAGGCGCAATATGAGGAAGTGTTTAAGCTCTGATTTATTTCATGTCAATAAAGAGGCCAAAATGTAAAAAACACATTGCTATAAATGTGGTTTAATAATTCTCATTTATTAGGATAAAAGTACTTGCTGCTTGTTGGCCAGTCATTGCATCCACTACAAGTAAAACTTCAGTGGGGTTCAGTACTCTTTTAACATCCTTCAGTTCATCCATCATCTCTTTATCTATCTGGTGAAGAAGAACATGAAGAAGAATAAGAAAGGATGATAGAGGGAAAACACTTTTCACAAATTACTGGGAGAGCACCATCATAAAATCATATAACCTGAAGCCTTCCAGCTGTATCCATAATGACCACGTCTATTTTCTTTATTTTGGCCTCTGCTAAACCTTGCCGAGCTATATCTACAGGTTTAATGTCAGTTCCTGCTGTATAAACAGGCACACCAACCTGCACCATGGTTAGAAGCTATCATGAGAATTATAGTTTAGAATAAATCGGTTATGACAGTAAACTGCCCTGGTCATTTCTCAAGCCCCAACTCTCAGATTTTCTTAATAAGTTACTGCAAACAGGAGTAAAGCATGGTCATGTGCACAAATGAGAGTATCCTTATTTTATGCTAAAATTAAGACTGGCTTAGTTCCAAAAAACAAATTCTTCTTGCAGGAGAAAATCAGTCATGTTTTTTGGGAAAAAAATACAATTAATGGTCCTATTTATGGAAACCAATTATGTGTAAGGATGTTTTTAATTAGGCTGGTTTCCGTCTCAGACTAGACCAGACTTTGACATATGTAAAATACACATAAAACATACATCTACCATATCAGACCAGACCAGTTCAGACTTCAGACCAGAATTAAATAGACCGGACTAGAAAAATTCAGCCCAATTAAAAACATCCTATGTCCTATTTATGGAATTCCCCCTTTTTAAATGCAGTGTGGCAAAAACTAAAATACGCCGTATATTGACACAACTTCTGATGTTCTATGGAATGATGCAAATAAAAAGAACTCTTTTGCTGCATAAATATTATACGGGTGTAAAGGATACTTCTTTGTTAATAAAATCTAGAAAAAAACGGCAATACTGTTTGAAAAAACATGAAACATTGATATGTCAGTATATCACAAATAGCCAATGCTTGCTTGTTAATAAGCAAATCATATTTGTATAAAATTATTAATTACCTGTTCACCTAAAATGGTGAGTTGCTCAATTGCAGCAGGTCTATATACATCTCCAGCAATTAGCATGCAACTCTTTCCCTGCATTCCATGCCATCATGGTCTTTTTAAGCACAAGCCACAAGGTTAAAACATTCTTTAAGTGGATAAAGCTGTCTTCTTTCCTTTTGCTTTATATGTGCATCTGTGTTGTGTGACTATGTGCATATGACAAAAGGAGGGTGGGTTCTCAAATGGGCACCTGCTTTTTAATATATAAAGCTAATTTTGCACTAACAGTCGTCTTTCCCACACCTTGTAGGCCAGCCAGCAAAATAACAGTGGGGCCAGATTTTGCATAAACCAGATCAGAGACCTCTCCACCCATCAGCTTCACAAGCTTCTCATGTACAATCTGCATGAATTTACCGCAAAAGCACAAAGTAAACAAAACTTCTTATGAAGTAATATTTTCAACTAACATCAATAAGAAGGAAAAAAAAATTGAACAGAAGACACACTTTGACAATCAAAACATGTTTCTAGAACCCTTACAATGATCAACTGATAAACAGGGTAATTGCATCAATGCATGACCATCCAAGCTCGTGCCTGATGGTATTTACATTCTTTGTCATAAAAGCAAGGGGAGTCGCCCGGTATCATTTTTAGGAACCCAGATGGTCCTGTGGCTAGGACCATTCTCACATTTGTCCCTACAATTCTTTAGTTTTGCTCCGGACTTTTGGCCGGGGAAAAAACAAAATCCTACCAAACTGCGTCAGCTGATTTTTAACAACTTATTTGTTATATGATCAGTGTGATATGATCAGAACTGACCTAACGGTTTAAAGTCCTTAGAGCAAAACTAAACATTACAGGCCCTCAGATGTGAGATTAATTACAGAACTGGGACATTTTGGATATCGCCAAAAAATAAGGGATCAAAGATGCAATGGTCCTTGAAAGAAAATGAGAATAAAATAAGGGATCAAAGATGCAATGGTCCTTGAAAGAAAATGAGAATAAAGGATAGGCGAATAGCTTTGTTCAATCAATCTATAGTAAACATACTTTGACCAATTGCTGATCAGGTCGCACTCCACGAATCAAGCTACTACCAACAGCTTGTTCACTAACAGATTCTACAAACCTTCTCACAACTGGGAGACTAACCTGCCATTGAAGGTAGATATTACAAGGTGCAGGCGCATATTACCTTTGGAACATGGACACACACTAAAATAGTAAGTGTTCATACGTCTGCTTCCAAAAGAGCCCTCTTAATATCTCTTATAGGTTCAGCAATGTTTTCCTTAGTCAAGGCCTCTGGAACACAAGGGTTTCACTTGAAAATGTGAGGGGGTGAAAAAAATCACAAAATGTGGAACTAACTCTTCAAGATTGAATTATCATGTTACATCATATAAAAACCGCCTCTTTAAATTGAAATTTAAGTAATTGAAGGAAGGAAAGACCTTCCCCTTTCAGCTTATTCCAGGCTGCTTCGAGTCCAGTGGTGAGCTGGCCAAACATTTCTGCCCTAATCATGGTCCTTCTTCTAGAATTTACCATGTTCTTGAAATCTATCACCCTCCATGCCTCTCTCTGCTCACAATAACGGATAATATAGAGTATCAAACTATCAAGCATGAAAAGATTAAAAAATGCAGGAACACAACTGCTAAAACTGCACTGCTTCTGAAAGACATACAGCGAAAGAGTTTCTGGAGGAGAAAGAGATAGATTGAGTAGAACCAGTCCAAGTAGTCGACGGATATGACCTTCTAGGGGTGCGTGAGAGTTGCCAGTTGGTCGGTGGAAGCAACGAAGAAGGGGAGAAATGGTGGTAAGAAACGGTCGACATGTAAAGTGTGGTGGAAATGTCAGATATGGAAGGAATTTGGGTCTCTTCTCTTGAAACTTCAGCCGCAAATTCTACTCTCCCACGGGGAGTCGGATACTCCTGGTGAGGGATACTGACTTCCCTCCAGTAGCAGCAGGAAACATTATGAAGACTGAAATCTGCTGATTACTATAAGGTGCTGGAGTTACTGGAGTGGTTTCTCGGATAATTGGGAATTTTCAAATATGTCACGTAGATACTCCCCTGGGCATTTGAACGCTCTCCGCTAGCAGTAGATACTCCGAGGAGTTGGATATCGGCCCAGAGTTAAACGCAATCCTGAAATCATAGCACTTGTTCACTGTTCAGTGTTCACCTATGAACCACGGATACTCTAGGATACCCGTACCGTACGTTCCTGGGCCGTATCTGCAATTTTTAAAAGTTTCCATTTTTTTTATAATTTTTTGAAAGTTTCCGATACTCGTATCCTGACGAATACCCATATCAACTTTTTTTTAAAAAAATCCCAAAATTTACTTAATAAAATTCTAGAAAAAATGAAAATCTAAAACTACATTTTACTTGGTAATCAAATAATGGGCCTATATGGCTATATCCGAATTAAGTCATTAACTCATACTCCGAATTGGGTACTTGCACTTTTAATTTCAAGATTGTAGTTGTTTGACTTATTTCTCATTTTAATTTAATGACTTATTGACTACATTTATATTTCGAGATGCACTAGTGTATATGAGAAATATTATGAATTTATTACTAAGTATCTTGAAAAAGGAAAATGATCAATGCAATGAATGGGTAGACATCATAGGATATTATATGTATATATATATTTTCAAAAAAAAACTATTTTTAATATTTATAAATAGACCCCTATAACTTTTAATATTTGTAGATACACCCCATAACTTTTAATATTTATAAATATGGCCCCGTATCCGTATCCTACTTTTTTGGGTTTTGACGTATCCTTGTATCCGTTTCCGCGTTTCCGCGTTTCCGCGTACCGGTATCGGTGCTACATAGGTGTTCACCAGTTCACCACACAGCTCTTCCGTACATCCAAATGCAACATTAAAAAAAGATTATGAGCCCGTTTGGTAGCATGAAAATTCGCTGATTTGGATGTTTCTGCTAAAATTTACGAAATTCTGGCTGAAGTGGTTGTATTGGTTGATTCTGCTGATTTAAGAAAAACAAAATTAAAATATATTTTATTAACAAAATATATAAAAAAAATTATATGTAAAAATAGCTAAAATGGTCATCTACAGTAACTTCAGCGCAAATTATATCGTGCAACCGACGCACCATGAGGATGGTGCGCCCCGTTGCAAAATGACGGAGTATTGTGCCTGGTTTCTTTATTTTTTATTGCTTTTGTTGTTAAAAATGGTAATAACTTTTTTATTTTTGATCTGATTTTTATAAAATTTATATCAATATTTTTTATTTTTCATGATCTTTCAAATGAGACCAATATTGCTTATGTAATTTTAAGAAATTATCGAACTATTATATTAATGAGTATTGGATTATAAGGAAAATCGAACTAAATTTAATACAGAAAAATAATTGTGTAATCTACAATTTATCTTAAAATTGTGTATATAAAAAATTTATTGTATTATGTATTTATACATGCGAGTTACATATTTTTACACGTAAAGTTACATATTTCTACACGCAAGTTACATATATATACACACGAGTTGCATCTGACCTGCCTGAACGCGAGTTACATATATTTACACGTAAAGTTACATATTTTTACACGTAAAGTTACATATTTATACACGCGAGTTACATATTTATACACACGAGTTGCATTTGACCTGTCTCAACCCGAGTTACACATTTTTTTACGTAAAGTTACATATTTTTACACGTAGAGTTACATATTTATACACACGAGTTGCATTTGGCCTGACTGAACGTGAGTTACATATTTTAACACGTAAAGTTACATATTTTTACACGCAAATGTTAATATGTTAAAATTACATAAGCAATATTGGTCTCATTTGAAAGATAATGAAAAATAAAAAATTTTGATATAAATTTTATAAAAATCGGATCAAAAATAAAAAAAAATTATTAACATTTTTAAAAAAAAGGAGAAATAAAAAATAACAAAGCCAAAATATACGAACTCCCAGGTATACCATGCGCACCGTGGGACAGTTGCATGGTATACGAACTGTAACTTCAGCCAATACAGACAGAAAAGTAACTACAACCTTACTTTTCCTGCTTATTACACAATTTAGCGCGCGAAAGCAAAAGTTACGTGTTTGGTGAAAAAGTTGGCTGATAAAGCCTGATAAGTCGAAAAAGAGTGGTTTCAAACGGCCTCTATGATATTCATTTTTCACTTGATTTCATTTTGCTTGTTTCTAATTCTAAATAGTATAAGACCTAAATACTATTGTGTCAGCTCAATAAAATTTGACTAAATTTGATTGACAAGTAGTACAATAAATTTATACTACGTGATTCTTATTTAGTTGATTAAAAATTTAATTAAAAGAAAGAGAAATAATCCTGTCAAAAAAGATAAGACAAATAATAACCCTTATTAGTTTTTTTTTTTTTGAGAATAAAACCCTTATTAGTTATAAATTAGTTGTTTAAAATGAAAAGATATTGGAAGGATTGGGATTCCCCACTTTTGCCTTGGGTCGCAAAGGCGCGAGGCGCACATAGGCGGCATGTTCGTCACATTTTACTCACCCAGACGGCTCAGGTTCCAAGAGGTGTGCGCTTTTTATGCTTTTTAGCGCCTTTTGCACTACTCAGAGGCGAGCACTTTTCACGCCTCACGGAAGTGTCCGATGGAATTACTCTGCCGATTCTCATTCCTTTTTTGGCGATTGAGATCTCCTTCCAAAAATTTCATACGTGGTCTTATAAATTGGTAAGGTAAGGTCCTCACTCCTCACTCCATCAAACTCCAAGTCTCTCTAGTCTGCTCCTTCCTTTTTGCCTTTTGCGTTTGGTTAGTCTTTTCTGTTTCCGCCGTATCTCGCGTTTGAAGCTTACGACTTTTCTTTCGCTATGAGTGTCTCGCGTCGCAGAGGTAAGTCTGTTTACTTTTTTTTCTGCTGCTATTTATTCTCTTTTATTTTAAGTTGTTATATTTATAAAAATATTAAAATTATTTAAATAAAAACCTAGATAACTGATACATACGTAATACGTAGTATTATCTTTCGTTATTTATTAGTGTTGATAGATAACTGAAAAAAGTTCAAGACTTAAGTTTGTACATTTTTAAGAATTTTAAGTTTTTAAATTTATAAAATTATTTAAAGTTACAAATATGTCCGTAATTAATTTTACAGAATTGAATTTGTGTGATAGTTTATTGATTAAATATGTATTATTTTAAAGTTTATTAGTTTATTACATATTACTATATCATAATACTATATAATAATATTGTAGTGTTAGAACACTGGTTTATTAACAATTTCTTAACAATTGTATATTGTTTTACACTGCTATATTCAAGCATGTTATACACTGGCAGGGAATCCGAGTAACAGACTTATTAACAATATACAATTTGGAATAACACTATATTGTAGTTTCAACAAATTTTTATATAACAGTTTAATAGTTTATTACATTAATTATTTGAATTACTATTAACAGATATAACAATTTATCACAAAATGACTATTAATTGTTTTATATATAAGGCTTATAATCAAATTGTATAATTCTTACAATTTTACTTTAATATCAAGTTTGTTAGTTCTTACTGTATTACTTCAACAGTCCACAATGCATAGTTTTTGTGATTATTTCTTTCAATATTAGGGATTCAATGGACTCAAATTCAACTTCTTCCGCGGGTTGTTCCGAATCTAGAGACCTTGCTAGAAAATATGGGATACCGGATCCTCCCAATAGGAACAATTTCACATGCAATTTCTGTTTGAAAGTCACTAAGGGAGGGGTTTTTCGTTTAAAACAACATCTTGTTGGGGGGGTTTAAGAATGTTACCAAATGCCCTAAATGTCCCGAACACGTTCGGGAAGATAAAAGTACTTTTGCATCCAAGCACATTTTTTGGGTGAAATATATTTTTAGTACTTCTACACGAAGCACTCTTCTCAAAAATCAAAGTATTAAACAATCTTAATAAACATCATCAGAGAAACAAAATATATATCAAAGACAATACGACAGAAGCAAGAAACATATGTTTAAAGGCATAATTGCCAAAAGTCAAGTAACAAAACTCAATATTAAAACTTCAAAACATTATTAAAAAGCAAAGTAGCAAACTCGCAAACCAAATTGTGAAATCTAGGCCTAGAATTCATCAATGTCATCATCCTCATTATTGAGAGTAGCAAGCTCAACATCGCCATTTCCTTCATTATCGGTTACTCCTAAGTCTTCCTCCCAAGTTTCTTCAACAATCCTCTGCCTTTGTCATTGTTTGATGTGCTAGCTCCATCATTCCTAGGATCTAGTGATGTAACTAGGCTCATATGCTCCAGCAGCTCTAACAACTGCCCCCCATGTCAAAGTGTCATCTTCAAACACATATTCATCATCTTCATCATCATTTTCCATTCTTCCGAGCAACCACTCATTACTTTCATCAATCTCTTCTAACAGAATGGGATCGATGGTGTCTTTCCTCTCATACCGTCTTTTCAAAGCACGGTTATATTTCACAAAAACTAAGTCATTCAAATGACTTTGCGCCAATCGATTTCTCTTCTTAGTATCAAGCTGTCAAAATGAAATTATGTAAATATTTGAAATTTAAAATCTATGAAAATTAACATGTTTAATTTGCGGATTAAAGCTTACATGCTGAAAAACACCCCAATTTCTTTCACAACCAGTGGCACTACAAGTAAGGCTAAGGACTTGAATGGCGAACTTCTTCAAATTAGGAGTAGATGATTCAAAGGAATTCCACCAATCCACTGGTGTTTGAGTTTTAAAAAAATTGTTAATTGAAAATCATTTGAATTTATAAACATATATTATAATTTGTTATAGAAAGAATTAAAAGTTATAAAAGTACTAGGAGATTATATTATTTTTTGCCTTATGGCTGCCGGAATGCCGAATAAGCCTTGTGCACTCGAATATGCATCCATCTCCTTGATGACTTTATCTTGGTCTTCAACATCAGCAACCAATCTAGCAATACAAGCGTACAAGCCATTCATCACCTCTTCATCATTCATTATGCGTTCTGAATCATCATAGAAGAGTTACGGGTTCAAGTAATGCCCCGCAGCATGCAACGGCCGATGCAACTGACATTGCCACCTCTCATCGATTAATTCAA